GTTTCAATAGGCTCTTGAGGGGAGCTAGGGCTGGTCTTCTCTAGACTCAGCCAGTAAAAGCACTTCCTATCCAATGGATCCCTGCTCATGATTACGCAAACACACACACACACACACACACACACACACACACACGCACACGCACACGCGCGCGCGCGCGCACACACACACACAGAGAAGTCAGAGTAGAAGTGAGCTTCTTGGGGATTTCCAGGGCTGATTATTCCGAAGTCATCGCCAGAACTTTCTTCCAGGGCAGCCTCTCTGGCAGCGGCCAGGCGCATTCGCCGCCGGGTGTGGGCGCCGCTCTCGGGGCCTTACGGACTGCACCGTAACTGGACAGTCAGGTCCCAGAACGCAGCGTGCGCCCAGCCGCCCTGCCCATGCTCCCTCTGGCGGCAGGTGGTGCAAACCACACGCCCCTCCAACAAGGGCACAGGGAGAGCGGGGACCAGCGGAGAAACGAAGTCCACCAACACTGGGTCAAGGCCGGCCCCCGCCTCTAGCTTTCTGCTTCCTGGGATTTGCGCCACCAAATGAGAGGGGCAGCCATGAACCTGTGCAGCGGGCTTATGACACCGTGCCAGCCGCTCGCCCTCATTGTATCAGCATAACTGTGGTTCCTCTCACAGCCCTTTGCGACAGGGCCCAGCGGTTAGGAGCGCAGTCCTCTCTTAAAGACAGAGGAGCCACCACGGTGAGGCTGGCGCAGGACCGGGCGGTGTTTCCTTCCGTTGCGCACAGAGTCGCTATGGGTCAGAACCACGGACGACAACGACTAGAGGAGGAGGCAGATTTTGGAGAGGCTAAATCACAAAGACAAGAACAGTGAGGGTCTGGGTGGAAGTTGCAGAGTCTATGTGACTAACCCGGATGCTATCTGCATGGAGGCTAGAGAACTCGCACTCTCCTCGCCACCAGCCCCCATGCCCAGCGAGGCGGTGGGAGAAGGGGAGGCAGAAGGCTCTGCTTCAAGGGCTGTGGAGTGGGGGAGTGTTGACTTACCTCTCCCAGTTTCGGTGGCACGGTGGGTTAAACACTAGGCTGCCAACCACAGTCAGTGGTTCAACCCTCCACGCCACCACTCTGTGGGAGGAAAACAGTGAAGCCGTCTGCTGCTATAAAGATTGATTTGCAGCCTTGGAAACCCAGTGAGTCGCTCTACTCTGTCCTGCAGGGTTCACTCTGAGTCAGAATCAACTTCCTAGCAATGCACCTGGTTTGGGTTTGGGTTTCGGACAAAGCATAGTTAGGTGCTTACTGAGACTTGTGACGATGAGTAACATTCACTGCCTTCAAGAAGCCTGCGTACAGCAAGCGGTTTGCACTCGACTAACCCCCCACGTGTGTGGTTGCAGGCCGCCCACACCGTGGCTCTGCGGTAGAAAGGCCTGGCAAAGTGTCTCCACAAAGGCGGCAGCCAAGAAACCCTATGGAGCGGCTGTGCTCCGGCACCTGGGGTCGTCCTGCGTGGGAATCCATTCAACGGCAGCAGGGCACAGGCCCTCAAAGAGCCCATCAGTTTCAGATCCACCCCCAGGTAGGGGAATGCTATCCCACCCACTTGCCCAAGAGAAGATGCCCCCAGTGGCTAAGCACATGGCTGCGAACCCAAAGGTTGGGAGTCCAAATCAAATCCACTAGTCCCGCTGCAGGAGAAGGATGTGCAGTCTGCTTCTGGGAAGCTCCCGGCCTTGGAAAGCCTGCAAAGCAGCCCTACTCTGTGCTACAGGGTCCCTATGAGTCGGAACCACCTTGACAGCCACAGGTGGTCACAGATAAAATGGGAAGAGGGTGAAGAAGCAGCACATTCTGATTTCAAGAGGGAAGCTTTATTTGGGGAGAGTGGGGTTCTGCCTTGCCCGCTCAGCCCTGCCCTACGAGCCCCGGTCCAGCCAGCTCTGTTTACTTCTTCCGGATCTCCAGGGCCTTCTCTTTCCGGATCTCCTTGGCCAGCTCCCCAATGAGCCTCCAGTACTCATTGAACTTGAGCTCTGAATCCTGATTCACGTCCAAGCTCCTCATCTTCTCCTCCAGGGAGCTCATATCCTGGGGAGACACCAAGAGGAAGGGCCGAGTTAGAAACTGAGCCCCTCTTGAGACAAACAAGGACAGAGAATTGCCAGCTGCCTTTCTCTGAGGGCGCAGGGGAGGGGAGGTGTTTGCAGCACCAAGGGGCACCAGCTGAGAGAGGAGGAGGAACTTGATTTATACCATTTGCTGGGATGTAAAGACTTCCATCATGGGCAATGTGGAATGACAAGCACAATGACCAACCATGCACAGCTGGGAAGAGACCAGACAGCCGAGACGGGCCTGCAGGGAGGCAC